TGTTGCACGTCTTCGGCGCGAACTCCGGCAAGCCGATCCTGCTGCTGTTCCACGGCGGCTCCGGCTCGTGGATCCACTGGATCCGCAACGTCCTGCCGCTCTCCAGCATTTCACCGTCTACGCCGCCGATCTTCCCGGCCTCGGCGACAGCGACCCGCCCGACGACGTGAACGACATCTGGTCGGTGACGCATTGCGTCGAGGCGGCGATGAAGGAGCTGCTGCCGAAGGACCAGCCATTCGCCATCGCGGGCTTCTCGTTCGGCGGCATGGTCTCCGGCCACATCGCGACACTGTTCGAGGACCGCATCCGCCGCATCGCGCTGGTCGGCGCCGGCGGCCTGAAGGCCACGCGCAAGCCCGGCCCCAAGCTGCACAAGCTTCTGGCCGAGATGCCGCCCGAGACACTGGCGGCCGAGGCGCGACGCAATCTCGAGATCCTGATGCTGCACGATCCGAAGAACGTCGACGGCATCGCGATCCACATGCAGATCCTGAACACGACGCGCGCCAAGACCCGCAGCCGCATCATGGGCCAAGCCTACAAGCTCAGCGAAGTGCTGCCCCGGGTAAAGACGCCGCTCACCGGCATCTGGGGCGAGTTCGATTCGACGACCTACCCGCACATCCAGGAACGCATCGACCTCTTCAAGGCGCTGCAGCCGGATTTCGAGATGAACGTGATTCCCGGCGCGGGGCACTGGGTTGCGTACGAGGCGGCCGATGCGTTCAATGCGAAGCTGATCGAGGTGTTGAAGGGTTAAGCGAAAGGTCCCTCGCTACGCTCGGGATGACAGTTTTGGTGAGGCCGACGCACCGCGCCGATCCAAACACCATTGTCTTTGTTGGGGAAGGCGCACCGCGCCGATCCAAACACCATTGTCATCCCGAGCGCAGCGAGGGACCTTTAATCAAACGTGGCAGCCCCACCCAACGAGGGCACCCGAACGGAGGATACGATGCCCAACCTGCTCTGCGTCGGCACTGCCGGCATGTCGGTGTGGTTCAGCCGCGACGACGGCGAGACGTGGATCCGGCCCTACATCGAATCCGGCCTCTATCTCGAGGCCCGCGTCTGGGCGCTCTCGGCGCATCCCCAGCGGCCGGGCGAAGTGCTGGCCGGCACCGATTCCGGCCTCTACCGCTGGAACGAGGGCGACCAGAAATGGACGCACCTGCCCTCGGTGCCTCGACGACTACGACATCTGGGCGATGGCGCAGGCGCCGGACGATCCCGACACGATCGTCGTCGGCACGCCAGCCCGCGGCCATCTTCGTCTCGACCGACGGCGGCAAGAGCTTCACCGCGGCGCAAGGGCTCGTTCGCCGACGCCTGCATCTTCGTGGGCAAGCCGCGCGTGACGCAGATCCTCTTCGATCCCCGTCGGACAAGGACACGCTGTGGGCCGGCGTCGAGATCGACGGCGTGCACCGCTCGACCGATCGCGGCCGCACCTGGAAGAAGGTGGGCCAGGGCATCAACTCCGAAGGACATCCATGGCGTCGCCGTGATCCAGAACGAATCGAAGCTCGTCTACGCCACGACCAACCGCGGCCTCAACGTCAGCCGCGACAACGGCGAGACCTTCGCCTTCCAGGAACTCGACTCGCCCTGGCAGTACACCCGCACCATCGTGCCCCGCGCCGACGGCGACGCGACGGTGTTCCTGACCAACGGCAACGGCCCGCCGGGCTCGACCGGCCGGCTGCTGCGCAGCACCGACCACGGCGCGCACTTGGACGGACGCCAACCTGCCCGGCGAACTCAACTCGACGCCGTGGACGGTGGCGACGCATCCCTCGAACCCGAAGCTGATCTTCGTCTGCTCCAACCTCGGCCAGC